CAGCTTGCGTTAGTAACAGAAGAGCTTGATGTCTATAAAAATCCTGGAACAACTACTTTGCGTTCGGTTTTAAAGTATCCAGTTCGTAATTCACAAGCCAATAGTTCTCAAGTAACTTTTGAGAGCCAAAATGATCCTGAAAAGCAGTCAGATTCTTCGTTGCTCCCCCCTAAAAAAAAGAGAAAAACACTCACTTTTGCCCGACTGCTTACAAATGAGGAAAGCTGGCGGCAATTGAAAGAAGCGAGTGAGGAAGCAGAACGAAAGATTGCAGAGACAAAACGAAAAAAAGAGATAACCGCTCAAAAAAAAGCTGCACGAGAGCTTGATCTAGCACAAAAAAAAGAAGAATGTGCTAGAAAAAGTCAAGAAAAGTTGACAAGAAAAAAAAAATAAGAAAAAAATTTTTTTTTCTAAATTCGCCACAATACCTCCTAACCTTAAAATTTTCGATTTTGGTACCGTGTACAAAAATGACGATCTTGTACCAGTATTACAAATCATGCCTTCTTATTTTGTACTAGATTTATTTATATATGTTGTATTATTAGCGGTTTAAATTTCAAAGTTCTATATTGGATAAATAAAAAGTTTTACTTGTAGCATGCTTAGCTTCGCCATAATACCCCTACCTCCCTTATGACGATTGTAAAAAAAATCACATGACTGCACCACTTAAAATCGGCGAATAAATCTATAAATTTTTACCCACAATCCCATTGGTCGATTTCAAGTGGAGTGGTCACGTGATTTTTTTTAAAATCGTTATATCTCAAGATCTGATTAGCTTTTGTCGATGTGATATGTTCGAAAAGTGACTTTACTTGAGCGAAAATAGGGTTTGACTTTCAGTAAGACTTTCGAATTTCGGTAGGACTTTCAAGTTTCGGTAAGACTTTCGAGTTTCGGTAAGAGTTTCGAGTTTCAGTAATACTTTCGAGTTTTGGTAAGACTTTCGAGTTTTGGTAAAAGTTCGGTAAGAGTTTTGAGTTTCGGTAAGAGTTTTGAGTTTCGGTAAGAGTTTCGAGTTTCGGTAAGACTTTTGAGTTTCGGTAAGACTTTCGAGTTTCGGTAGGACTTTCGAGTTTCGGTAGGACTTTCGAGTTTCGGCAGGACTTTCGAGTTTCGGTAGGACTTTCGAGTTTCGGTAGGACTTTTGAGTTTCGAACATTTTGGTAAACCAGATTCTGTTAGAAAGCACTTTCGGTAGACTTTCGATTTTGGTAGGTACCGAAAGTACCCACTTTCGGAGCCATCCTTAGGTGGGGCAATAAAGGGTAGATTTTTTTGGCCGAACATGTCTAAATTCTGGTCAAAATTAAAATTAAATTTTGTTTTGACCAGAATTTAGACACTCTCGGCCCAAAAAATCTACCCTTTTTTACCCCACCTACCTTATAATTATCAGGGGTCCTTTTTCATCTCAGGCATACCCTACTTATAATTTTAGCCAATCATATTTCAAGATCAGATTTAACGTGATGTTTGACATTTTGATAATAAAAATAGAACTCTTGCAACAAATATAACCTTAATACCAACCAAAAGAAAGATTTTATTACTTCAGAATTTGGTTTTATTCTATTGTTTAGATTTTCATGTCAGTCCATGCGAAGTTAATTTTTCATTTTGCATAACCTGCAGACCCTTTTTCAAAATTTTTTTTTAAGCCCCGATTGTGCTAATTATTCGATTTTTGCCAATTATTTGTCACCCGACAATTATCCAATCAGACCGATAGAAAAAAAACCGCCCCCAATTTAAGTTTTTAGATTCCATTATATGCAAACCGAAAAATTAACTTTGCGTGGTTTTACACCTGTACCTTGAAACATTATTGAATAAATTTACGTGACTGTACAGCTAAGTTACCAAATATATTGTTATTTTTTTATATCAAAAGTGTTTTAATATCGTGCAATAAATTAGTTTAATACTCACAAATAAAGCATATAAAAATTTGGTGCTTAGCTTTGTAGACAATAATATGCATGTATTATCGCCTTTAAGCTTTATTCCCTTTAAAATTTAGAAAGGTGTTGGTTTTTGTTTTTTTTTAAACTCAAGAATTCACTTTTCATTTAAATTATAAAGTTAATTGTAGTATCATGATGAATAATTTCCAAGGATGATCGTTTTTGTATCTTAAAAGTTTTTATTTATTCTTACCTTGCGGTAAAAGATTTTCTATCATACCTAAGATACGTCTCCTTGATTGCTTTAAATATTTGGGAGCAGCCAATCGTACATTGATTTTTTACAGAATTGCTTTTTTTATAATAAAAATAAAATAATTGGCACAATTGGAATTATAAAAAAAATTTTTTTAATTTGAAAAATGGGGTGATTGGGTTAGCGGCCTGCGCGGGCTGGGCCGAAATTTTAAAATTTTGAAAACCTCTCAAAATTGCGGGCCTGGCCAAAATTTGATAAATTTAAAAATCTCTCAAAAATTGTGGGCCGAACTTTTAAAAAATTTAGTAAATTTTAGAGTTTCAATCCGGATAAATCTGTCATCTGTTTATCCGTATCCAATTATCCAGATAATCCAAATCGCCCAGATATCCAGATAATCTGAAGGGTAATCAGATAATTATCCGGATATTAATAGTAAAACGGATATCTGAATAAATTCAGATTCGGATATCTGATATTATTCTCGCTCGGATCAATTTCCTTTATTTTATGAAAATACACTATGGGAGTAGTGCCATGCTGTGCTCATGCCCCATCAACTTTACAAATACATTTAACAAGTTATTTACATTCTTTCTTATACAATTTTACTCAATATTTGTTGCCCGCTTGTCATTCACTATACTCTTATTTCTTTAACTTATGCAGATCACATGCGAAATCTTCAGAGAATTGGGCATAAACTTATTACTTTTTTTTTTTTTTTTTTTTTTTTTTTGGGAGGGACCGGGTGGGACTCTTCACAAAAGAGCCAGACTAAAGTCAGGTAGCAAACGAAAAAAGCACTACCTTTTCCAACTTCCCACTTACCCTTTAAATACCGTATCCGTTTCTTCCTTAAATTTTCCACTTTACCCTCCATTTTTTAAGTTTGTTAAAATCTCAACACCCTAAATCTTTTTTTCATATCTGATTTAACATTACTATCATTGACAACTATAATGTTATTCCCTTTTTCAAATTTATCATTAATTTCAACAGGCCGTAGGGCTTCTTTTCATATCTAAATTAATACATTGCTTGGCTAATTTAACATAAATTTTGACATGCTTATAATAAATTCATGTCGTAATCCAAGATAAATCATTACCAATAATTCAGCATCAAAATTGTAACCATCGAAAGGTCTTTGTCCAGTTAACATTTCTATCATAATAATCCCAAAACTGTAAATATTAGCTGCTTGAGCAAACTGTTTTCCTTTTTAAGACCTCAGGTACTAATATGAAAAACACCATAAATAAGACCATCTTTTTTTCATCAATTGATATTGATGAACCTATATCAATATAGCTTCATATCGTTCTTTCAGTAAAATATTACCAGAATGTAAATTTTGATGTATAAATTTTTAGAATGAATATTTGATAGATCGTTAATAATATCAAATAATATTTTTAGTTAATTTTCCACTCTAATTTAAATATACTGTATCATTAAGATTTTCACGTAAATGATTTAAACCTTGCGTGATTTAACACTAAAATAAAATCACTGGTATCTTTGTCCATTGATATGCCACAAAATCGTGATACGCCTTTAACTAGAATAGATAAATTATATATAACTAATTCATAAACAATATAAATTTACTTCTCTCGTTTAAAAAAGGTTTTGATTTTTATGCGAATTTTTTATTATCTTAATTGCAACATTATACTTTTCATAACGTTTTATACACTACGGAAAACCCACTTTTACCTACTTCTTCAATGTTTCTAAAACTATCGTATTCTATTCAATGTAAATAGTTATTACCATAATAACATTTATGCTCAGTAACAGCAGATTTTAAGTACCATTCAAATGCCAAATCTTTATTCATTTCTACACTATCCCGTTCTGATAACGCAAACCAATATAATACATTCCACAAAAAATCCATATTCGGCACTTTTAAATAATATTCAAAGGCCCTCTTGTTCACGCTATTTTCATTTCGTAGCAATGCCTAACATTATGTATCGCAATAGCGTACCCAGATTCTTGATAATAAATAAATGCTTATTTTCATCTTTTTCAACCCCAGTTCCACTAAGATAATAATATCCAGCATTATTTGTTCCGACAACATTCCCCATCTCTGCAAATTTCTAATAATAAATGATGCCTTATGTTTATTCTCTTCAATTTCAATTCCATTATAATAACAACCTCCATTCTATAAGCTTCCCCATCTCAGCAGATTTTGATAATAAATGAATGCCTTATGTTTATCCTTTTCAACCCATCTGGCATGCTCATAACAATTTGCAAGAATGAATTGAGCCAGAGGATTGAATTGATCATCTAGACAATATTCAATAATATTATTTTGATTTTGCTTTTTTTATTGGAAGTTGTTCTAATGCATCACGAATTAAACTGCCACTTTTGCTTTTTAATACAGATTAAAAGTTTCTTTAATAATTTCATTAAGAAAATTTTGAGACTTATCTTCTAAATATAGTTGGTTAATTTCACTAGATATTTTAGTAATATCTAAGATTTTTCTGGCTGTTTTGCAATTGATATTTTTGACGTAATGAAATAATATGTTACATATAAGCTTAACAAATTTGTTGAGGGTATGTATTATTGTAGTGCGTAATGCATGATAACACATTTTAACTTAAAGATTTCTATAGCGTCAATTTCTCCTTAACTTTATACAAAATTACGCCAAGTCTATTTCCCCCCCAGAAATTATTATTAGTATGTTTATAGCTGTTTCCAAAAAGATGTGGAACGGGCAGATCATCATATTACGGGAAATTCGCCAAGATTTCCAAGATTTCCAAAGTTTTCAAGAATTTTTTACTAATTGGAATTTTCAAATTCTCTGATTTCCATATGGGTATGTGGAAATTGGTTTCCACATCTTTTTGAAAACAGCTGTAAACAACAGAGTATGACTTATGGAAAACAATTTAGGTAACAAATTTTATTTTAAGAAGATTTCTCTAAAATAGATTTTTTCATTAGAGAATTTTGCCACTTGATTTCTTTAGAGATTCCTAATTTTTGCGCTTGAAATTATTATTGTTACAAGCAATCATCTATAAATATATATAGTGAACGTTCAAGGCAAGACGAATTTTATCCTGAAGCATTTTTTCTAAAGCTTTTGTATTTGAACTATTAAAATTAATTCATATTTGAGTTACTTCATTAAACTTTAACGATGCTTAATAATTTTCAGATGGGATCATAAAAAAATTTAATTATAAAGTTTCTTTTTATTATAAAATCTTGAATTTACCCAGTTTCAATGGATAGATGATTAGACAAACATAGCAGTCACAATAATAATATGCTTGAAGTTAAGAAAAAGTTTTTAAATGCACCACGTAATCATAGTTAATCTGTCTTAAATTTCAAAGG